CTGCGCCAAGGGGCGCAAGGGGGAGGGTCGGGGAGGCGCGGGCGGCGGAATTTACCTGGCGTGCCCTCCTTCTCCACCTCCTCCTCGTCTTCCTCCTTTTCCCTCTCCTCCTAGACTGCTTGCTGCAGAGCGCCGGGGGATCGTGCCTCGTGGGCTGGTAGGGATATGCGAAAGCGTCGACAATAAAAGCATGCTCTGCCTCAGAACATCATGGATGTTGTAAACGTTCAAACACAAGCGGCATAATCGTGTGTGCGTGTGTCTGAACAGCAAAAGCGCGCTACCACCAAAGCAAGCATACGTACGCACAAAAAGCATGACGACCTTTGAATATGTACGTGTGTAAACATATATACACGTGTATGTATATATACACTAAAACCATCGCGCGCTTCGCGCGCGCTCAGGTTCTAGTTGAGGTCACCGCTCAGGTTCGATGCCCGCGACGATTCTTACCACGAAGACGGCGGCGTGCACTCCGCTCACGTTCGCACGCCATGTTCCGGAGGAGCGTTCCCCGAGCATGGGGCGCCAGAGGCTCCCCCGCTCTTCCCCCCTCCCGGACTATCCTGCCGAGGAACTCTTAGGTTGCGTAGGGCCGGTCTTGCGGGCTCCCTGGGGTTCTCTGGGCCCGCCTAGGGCTGTTTGGGAGCGGACCTGGAGGCGCGCTGGGCCCTAGTGAAGCGTCGGAAAGCCGAAAAGACAAGAAGGCCAATATCCTCCAATTCCTGCGTAAAATGAACGATGTTGGCCTGGTGGGACCCTCTTGGGGGTGCTCCTGGAGGCGTCTTGAGTCATGTTTGAAGCCTCTTGGGAACTACCTGGGGCCTCCTGGGGCTCTCTTGAGGCGGAAGCCCTGGTTTCCGGACGCGGTCCGCCCCTTGGACACCTCTCGGGCCTGTTTTGGGGCACTCGTGGGCTGCCCTGGGCGCTTCTTGGGCCAGCCTTGGGCTCTCTGGGACCGCCTCGGGGCGGCCTTGGGCGCTTCTGGAGCTGTTTGGGGGCGATCTCGGAGGCCTCCTGGGCTGGCTAAGAGCGTCGGACAGCCGCAAAGATCGGAAGGCCCAAACCCTTCCAAAACTATTGTAAAACCATCATTATTTGGTCTGCTGGGGCCCTCGTGGGAGTGCTCTTGGAAGCATTTGGAGCCATGTTGGGGGACTCTTGGGAGCTGCCTGGGGCCTCCGGGGTCACTGTTGAGGCGGGAGCCCTGGGTGTTCGGTACGCGGTCCATCTCTTGGGCCCTTCTTGGGTTTGTTTTGGAGCCTTCTTGGGCTGTTGTGGGCGCTTCTTGGGCCAGCCGTGGGCTCTCCGGGGCCGCCTTGGGCTTTTCTTGGGGGCCTCTGTGGTTGCTTGGGGGCGGACCTGGAGACCTCCTGGGCCGTCTTGGAGCGTCGTACAGGCGAAAAAAACAAAGGCCAACATCTTTCCAAAACTGTCGGAAACCATCAATTTTGGCCTCCCGGGGCTCTCTTGGGAGTGCTCCTGGAAGCGTCTGGAGCCATGTTGGAGGCCTCCCGAAACCTCTACCACGTGTTTCGGCGACATGGGCCGAAGATGGGAACCGTTCCTGGTGCAGAAACATCACTAGGGTCCGTCCAGAGCCGCTCGGCAAACGCCCTGGAGCGGCTCTGGAGAGGCCCCGGGGGGGGGGTCCCCCCAAGGTAAGTCGACGCAGCTGGCCACAGGCCCCTGGCCCCATACCCCGACAGATATATAAAAGTCACGCGCACGCTTCCCGCGCGTTCAGGTTCTACCGCCGGGCAGGTCAGCGTCACAGCACAAAGGCCGCGCAGGCAGAAACCCACGGCGAACACTGGCCAGGAACTATCAGCATTCGCGCATGGACATCAGCATCCAGCCCCGCGGCGACAGGGGAGGGGCCCGGAACCACCCCAAACACAACAAACCTCCCGAACCCGACGGGCCACTCCGCACAGATTCGTTCCCCGAACCTCTCCCCAGGCCCGCTGGTGCAATTCCTCGCCCCAGGTCCGTCCGGTTCTGAAAGTCCTGGGGCCCAGCAGCGGCCCCGGAGACCGAAACCTATCAGACACAAAATTCGTTCAAACAAACATCTCTGGAAAAGCCAGAACTGCCGCGGGCATCTACCTCGATCGAGAAGAAAAAGAGGAGACAGAAGAGGAGAGGGGGAGGAAGAGGGGAAAAAAAGGTCTCGTCGTCGCCGCCGGCGTCTCACACATATATCGTGGCTTTTCCACCAGCCGAGGCATCCTCAAATTCAGCGCCCAAGAGCCGTCTTCGGTGCCCGGGAGCACCACCGAGGGTCCGGGACGAGGATCGACCACCCTGGCCAGTGCCCCCCCTTCGCAAAGAAAGGAACACGGGGTGGATCGAGGCTCGAGGCATGAGGCTCCTAGTTCTTGAGCGCTCTCCGCCCCTCTGGGCCTTCAGGAAGCTCCTCGTCGACACAGCTGGGCCCAATCTCGAACTACTGGCCTGATGCGCCCCCAGCTGGGTCTCAGCGATCCCCGAGCCTATTCAGGGATTGGAAAAAGGAGGCCTGGGGCAAGCCCCGTGAAGGCCCCAAGGAACCCACATAAGACCACAAAAAACTTCAAAACAATCCCCTACAAGGCCCCCCCATTGAACCCCAAACGCTACGTAGGACAGGCCGAAGCCCTAAGATTGCCCAGCGATCGCGCGCGCTCCGCGAACTCCATCTTTCACTTGTGCTGTCGCCCCAAGGAATCGGCGGCGCGGCGCAAGCCAATGAATCAAACCAACGCCGTAACTGCTTCGAAGGGCAGTCCTTCTCCTCGATCCCTTCCCTGCCGGGGAGGGGCCCCGGTCCCGGGGGGGGCCCAATGGGGGTTCCCGGAAGGGCCCCGGGGGCTGTCCCAGGGGGGCCTGGGGGCCGCCCCCACGTGGGTCACCCCTGCGGACAGTAGGCAATGGAGCTCAGCACACCTCCCATCGCCTCCACCTGTGGACAAGGGGACCACCACCACCACCACCACCCTGTCCTCACAGACAACCCCCCCTCTGAGGCACCCCCCTCATCTGTTGTTGCGGGATGCTGCGTATTCTCCCACGTGCCTCCACGGGGCACGAGACCTCAAATCCGCTCCGAGGCGACCGCGGAGCTTCCCAAGAAGACCCCCAAGACGCCCCCCAACATATGCCAAGAGCCCCCCAAGAAGGGGCTCCATAATCACCGACAGCCTATTCCCCGCGCCGCGCCCTGCGCGGCACCTGGCTACTTTCGCGCGCCGCGCTTCCAATCTCGGCGCGAAGCACGCGCGCTCCACCGCGCGCTTCCGATCGCGACCCGAACACCCCGCCAGGGATCGGGATACGGCGGGCGGGTTGGCGCGCGCAAAACATGTCGCGCACCTTAGCGCACGTTGCACCTGGCGATGCGACCACTGCCAGCGGCCGCCAGGGAAGGAAGGCCCCCTCCCCGCACGCGCTGGCCTGCGCGGCGACTCTCGCACCTGCGACGCATGCGTTCGGCCGACCCGAGGCAGGGCCCCTCGCAGCCGGTGCGCGTCGCCTCTTCCACGGCGAAATCCACGCCGGCGCCCATTCCAAATTCCCAGGGATCCTTCCGATCAGAAATCCTGATCGGGAATGCTTCTTCTTGAAAACTGATCGAGATGAGCTTTCCTGATCGGCGGTGCGTTTTCCATTGGCCCACGGATGTTTGTTGCGCAGTGCGCATGTTATCTCCTTTGGAGACACGCGATGGATCGTGTATGAAGCCTCGTCGCGCACGTTTATTCGCGCGCAACCGTTGACATCACAACATTCCCCCCCCCCAAAAAAAAACAATCCTCCACCCGCCACGTTTGCCTATATATATAATTATACATATACATATATATCGTCGTCCTCTCCTCCAACTCCACCCCTCCAACCGCATCCACCTCCACCTTCGGCCCCCTTGGGAATCCAGAAGGGCATCGGCGTTTTGTCCCGAGCCCATTGTTTTCTGAGCGTTTCCATGCAGGGGTTCTCCAGCAGCATAAGGTTCTACGTGAACCAGCCGCGAAGATGATATTCTCACCTCGCAATGCAGATTTTTTCGCTTTTGATGTCATGTCAGTAGTATTCCATAGCCGTTGTGGTTCAAACCAGATTGTCAGGCAGGTATTCGTAGTCCACAATGTCTAAAGATGACACCGATGGCACAGAGGTTGATCAATTGCTTGCGTGTTTCTTGAAGTTTGGTGTGAAGTGCGGCCCTGCATTTTGCAAGTATGGATGTGATGCCGACAAAGTTTTAGAGGCGAAGTTAATCGTGAACGGCCCCGAGGGCGTCAACGGGCACCATGAGCTCTTGTCGTCGCTCCATGCGATCAAGCAGGGTCTCACATTCAATGCATCGACCATCAAAGCTGCCCTCAAAAAGCTGGTCGAACACAAGGACATCAAGAGAGAGCCCGGGTGGTCTATGACAAAGGTGGAGCGAGACGATTGGTCCAAAATCATTCCCCGCAGGATTCGAAACATGTGCAGGTGCGTTTCCCAGGGCGAGCTGAAGTCGAAGACGGCTAAATGGGTCATGAGCCTCCCATGGGCAGGGGGGGCTCTGGAGGAGCCTGAGGGTGATGAAGGAGAAGAAGAAGGAGCAGAAGAAGAACCTCAAGCTGATCCTGATAAAGAGATTGATGAGACGGAGTTCGAAGATGCCTCGAACGATGGAAAGGTCATTTGCACATCACCGAAGCACGTTTCCAAAAAAACCTGCCAAAGCTGATGCAGATACTTTTGAATATGGATGGGGCCGTGAACTGATGTTGCCATATCGGCTCGACCCCCGCACGAACAGGAAGGAGACGGGCCTCCCGATCACCATCCCCAAGTGTGCGAAGAATCTGGCGCTCGTTGTTGCTGAATGGCCTGATGGGCGCAAGCATGCTATTCCAGACATGACCTATGAGCAGATCCGTTCGATGCAGCGTTCGGGCGGGAAAGGCTCGTCAGTAGGCCACCTCTGGGAGATGGAGCAGGTCGACACCAAGCACAGGGTTACC